AAGCCTCTCTAGCTTTAACTCCATAACGACATCCGAGAATCGAAGGACGAATAAGGATCCAAGTCGTTTCGCAATCAAACTGTACTAATTATAGATATTTCAAAGTAAAACTTCAGCATATAACAATTTTGAAACCGCTTTTGAAACTCATTATATTCCAATCCCTTGATACACAGTTCTTAATTCTCCATAATCTTCGAAAATAATAGCAATCAGTATCGAAAAATACTACAAAAAAAAAGTCAAAATACATACGTAGAAAGTATTTGCATTAACATTTATGTAGAGTGAGTCTTTGTCGTCCGAAGAATTATAACATTTGAGTTAATATAATATTCCTGAAAGGCTTAAAAATAGTCAAGAAATGAATGCCTCATTTATTTATACTTAATACTAAAATTGGCTGAAAAATAGCCAAAAAATAAATGACTCATTTATACTGAAGAGAACTTAAAACTAAAACTATGTATATTTTATTAGTTATAAAACACTACTTTTAAATTTTAGAGTTATACACTCTTACGTACATTAAATATAGATCAGATATAACCAAGTATGAAACTGATTAGAACCTATAATAATGTTCCGATTACAAATTCCGATAGTAAAAACCTATTTTAATAAATTCCTAATAAATCTATTCAAAAGATTGTTAATAGACCTTTAAATTTTCTCGAGCTTTTAACGTCTAGAATTTTTTGATCTTTTACAGTTAAATACTCTTACTTACATTAAATATAGATCAGTTATAACCATGTATGAATCAGGTTAGGACCTAGAGAAAGGTTCCGATTACAAATTCCGATAGTAAATGCCCCTTTAATAAATTCCCAAAAAATCTATTCAAAAGATTATTAATAGATCATTAAAATTATCGAGAAAATCGACGTCTCAAACTTTATTTAAATTAAATAAAATCAATTATTAAAAAAAAATTTTTTTTTAAATAAATTCTTTTAATTTTTAAAGAAAATTTCTTTTACATACGAAACTTTCGAACTCTCCCTGGCAATTATTTAGACTCTACTAAAATTTATTAAAAAGGAGAGTTCCATATACTTAAGCGGCACAACTAGAGCAAATTATATTAACAACAACAAAAACAATGGAAACAATGTATATTGTTAGATAAAACTGGGTTTGGCTTTTTAGTATAAATTTTTATATAGGTAATACATAGTATCAAAATGTACTTTTAATAGAAATTTATATCGGCTGTAGTCGAAAAGTGAAAGTACTACTTTTATTTGCCAGAAATTAATACTGCAGTTATTAATGTTGTAAATACTAATATTATAAAACACATATATATATGTATATTAATATATATATACAGTATATATTAAATCTCTATATAATGATTCGATTATATTAAGGAATTCATTGTCATCACTAAGTTTACTTTGGATTAGAGTCTTATGTACCAATTAGTTTTATAAATAAAAATGGCTGAATGTACTCTTTGTTAGACTGTGTATATAGTGAAAACAGATATTGCTGATATTGTAAATCCAAAGTAACTACATCTGAAGAGATAATATATTTATATTATCGGTGCAAATATGAACATCGAGCAAAGACCTATGATATTGTGATGTTAAGTTTTGTTTTAAACTGAATGAAACGTTTTATCGAAAAGTTTTAATTGATTAACCGATTTTATAAAAAATTCTTGTAGTTGTTGTTTCTTTATTACTGTTCTAACCCCTGTTCTAGAATTGATGTTTACTCCACTTTTTGCATGAATTGTAAGAACATAAATGATGAACAATATGTTGACCAACCAATATTCATAATAACCGCAGATATGTTAAAAACTATCAATGAACTTATCAAAGACAAGCCTAAATCTTCATTGAAATTCGTGAAATTTGAATTGAATATCTCAAAAACATCAATTTTTTTCATTTCGAACGAAAATTGCGACTCCAGAAAAATATATAGATTGTATCATCAACTCTCGATTGTATCGAAAGACATATATAACAATATGACTTATAACAATATGTGCTGTTTTCCATATAATCAAAAAATCAACTCCCTAAAAGTCGAGTGGGAGATGCCTGACTAGTCAAAACTTAAAAAATCGGATTTGAGGAAATTAAAATTCGATTTATTTTTATAGTTGTAAGTATATTGTTTACAGAGAGTTCGCTTTGTACAAAAAGTAGTTGTTGTTTGTGACATCGTACCAGTTGTATTGATTTTGGTGGATTTAAATATTAGCTGTTCGTGACACTACATCCTTTAAAGTTTGTATAGTCTATATACTTTTGTGTCCATATCTTTAATTCTTGGAACATTTCTTTCACTTCAGCTGTATCCTGAAAAATATTAATCTCTTCTAGATCGTTGTTTGGCCACTCTCAGTTCTGAACCAATTGTTTGTGGAAAATTCTTCTACTACATTGAATAAGAGCAGGACGTTCTCCAACAATATAGTATGTAATCGCTGTTTGACCACTCTTATTTCTGGACCAATACGTTGTGAAAAATTCTGCTTCCATATTGTATAAGAGCAAGGCGTTCTCTAACATTTTAGTATGTATAATATAGTATGGTATGTATAGTATAATATAGTATGTAAGAATGTAATTTTTAAATATTATCTGTTCAGATTTAGGAGATATTTGCTTCTCTTTTCTGAGTAGTGTAGAAAGAAGAGTTTTTTATACAGCGAGGACCTTCTTAATAAGACCACTTGTGCATATATAACTATATAGCCCATATAGGTCTATATAGCTGCTATTGAAGTAGGTTTCTTAGGCAATATCGCACCAATGGACAGTACCTACAATCGCATGTCAACTACTTTCCTTATTTACTTAATTTGGCTCTATATGACTTTCATCTTTTGGAAAAATATATTTGTTGATAAAACAAAAGCATTTTGGGAACGTAGAAGTACCGACCTCCTGAAGAACATTCCGGTAGACGATGTAAAGCATTAATTCGTTA